AAAAAAAGACCTAAGCAGCCTCTGGTCTCACCTCTTGTTTCCCTCCTCACCATGGGTCTGGTCCCACACATTCTGTATTACATTCTAATCCCTACTGATGATTTAAAAACTATTTCCATATGATCCCTGATCCTCTTTTCTTTTTTTTTTTTCCTCTTTTTTTTAAGAGGTAGAGTGTAATACCTCTTTCCTTGGGACAAGACATGACTCTGCTAACAAACTAGGATGGAAATAATGGTATTTGAGTGCTGAGACTCATTTATTTTATTTATTTTTTTTTTTAGTAGAATCTTTTTTTTATTCAGAAAAAAAAACCCCAAAACTAAAAAGTTTCGAACCACACAGGAGGGGTATGGGTAGGGGGAGGTATCTGTCCATCCAGCCCTGGCCCCTGCCCATATGGTTTTGGCAGCAATAAAGGATGTGGGGTAATGGCCCCAAAAAATAAAAACGGTGTATGTGTATGGGAAGGATAGTGGTGCAAAAGCAGTGGGGAGTGGTGGGGAAAGGGGCCGAGGAGGTCAGTACTGGGCACGCTGCAGGTGAGAGGCCATTCCATAACATTTCTTGTTGATCAAACCACCGTGGACACCTTCTTTGCCCCATCAGTAGGACTAGCGTCTTGGCAGTCATGGTGACAGTAAGGTTGAAGGTAGGTGCTCCGCCTGTACTCTTGGTGCGAAGATCCATGGTATATTCCCCATCCATTAGCAGTGAGTCCCGGATCACAGAACATTTCTGGCCCCCAAGTGTCAGCCCATTCACAAAAAAACTTGACCGGTCTTTGCCAACAAGAACTCCAACCTCAACTGACGTGACGTTAACAAAGGTTTTCCCGGGGACAGCGGCCCAGACAGAGGGCGAGTCCTTATAGCCCACGATGGCCGCGTCTTTGACAGGTCCCGTCCGCCATGAGGTTGTGGATGTAGGCGTTCCACCCGGCCATGTCTCTTCTATTGAACTGTTCTAAGTGTTGTTGCTGGGGCCGCGGGTAGAGCTCTGGCCGCCTCGGTCTGGCGGGCGGGGGAAGCGGAGAGCTTGGGGCACACCGAGACTTATTTCTAAAAGGCCCTGCAGTTGTTTCCTTACTCTCTCAGACCCCGTGCTCTAGGCAGAGCTAGTTCCCATGTGTTGAGGACATTCAAGAGGTCTATGTGAATTTCTTCACACGTCCTCCCTGGCCTCTCCCCTCTTCTTCCTCCTCACCTCTGACCTTCTTCCTTCCCAAAGCCCCAGTGAGACCTGGGAGAGATGTGGTGGTGGCAGCTACACCAGCCTCTTCCTCCCCTGGAAAGCCACGCATTCTTGAGGTCCAGCACCAACACAGACACCCCCCCAGAGAAGTGGATGGTGTCATAGCTCCTGTCCACAGGGACTAAGGATTTGTAATCAAGTCACCCTGACATGAAAACATTGATACAATTACTTAAATAGTACACCATCAGCAAGAAAGCCTGGACCTACCAACCTCTAATATCAAACACAATATATCTGACAACGGGCACAGGAGAGACATCATGGAACAAACAACCTTATCAAGACCTCTGCACAACCTCTCTCCTGAACTCTTTCCACATTTCCTTCTTCCTACCCACTACTTTTTAATCACCTCCGTAAAAAGCTTGGCTTGATCCTGAGATGTAAGAAAATGATCTTTCCTTTCTACGAAGATGGCGCCGAAAGCGAAGAAGGAATCCCCTGCCCCTCCCAAAACTGAAGCCAAAGCAAAGGCATTGAAGGCCAAGAAGGCAGTCCTGAAGGGCGTCCACAGCCAAAAAAAAAAAAAAGAAGATCCACATGTCACCCACGTTCCGGTGGCCTAAGATGCTGAGACTCCGACGGCAGCCCAAATACCCCCGGAAGAGCGCTCCCAGGAGAAACAAGCTTGACCACTATGCCATCATCAAATTTCCCCTGACCACTGAGTCAGCTATGAAGAAGATAGAAGATAACAACACACTTGTGTTCATTGTGGATGTCAAGGCCAATACGCACCAAATTAAACAAGCTGTAAAGAAGCTCTATGACATTGATGTGGCTAAGGTCAACACTTTGATTAGGCCTGATGGAGAGAAGAAGGCCTATGTTCGACTTACTCCTGATTATGATGCTTTGGATGTTGCCAACAAAATTGGGATCATCTAAACTGAGTCCAGCGGGCTAATTCTAAATGTAATAAATTTTTCTCACCCTTAAAAAAAAAAGAAAAAAAAAGAAAATGATCTTTAAGGCTTCTCATCCTTGCTGCCTGTTTTCTCTCAGACCACCAGTATCGGAATAAAGGACAAAAAATAGAGGTCCATGTGGTGAGAAACTTGGGCCTCCTGTCAAAAGTTAAGTGACCAACATCTTGGAAGCAGCTTTTCTGGCCCAACTCAAGCCTTCAGATAGCAGTAGCCCTGGCTGATGTCGGACTGAATGAGAGGCCCTCAGCTAAGCTGTTCTTGAACTTCTAATGCATAGGAACGATTCAATAATACATATTTGTTGTTTTTAGATCCTAAATTCTGAGATAATCTATCACAGAGCAACTAGTAATGAACACATATATCCCAAATAGAATGAAAGAACAGAACCTTTTGTGTTTAAATACTTGTTCAGAAATATTAATTTTTTCAAGTACAGGTCACTGAAGGTGACAGCTGATAGGGATGCTCTCATGTTCCTGGAGATGCACCCTTCTCTGCTTGTAATGCTTTGTGCATTCTGAAGTTTCTCCTCATACCCCAGGGTCTAACAGGAATAAACTGTTCTTTACCACTCTATCCCTACTCCTCGCTTCCCACCCTAGATTGGCCCCTGCAGACTGACTTCAACAACCCTGCACAAGACATGGCCTTACTGTTGCTGATTCTTGCCAGCACTTCCACAGCCCTGGGGCAGCAGAGTACCCGGTAGCTGGAAAGTGTCAGGAAAGAACCCTGTCAATAGACTGGTGAAGCATTGCTTAGGATTTCAGTGGGTTACACGTAAAAGATAAAACTTTTTTTTTAAATACTGAAATCTAGATGCCTCCATTCTTTCATCTAAATTACAGGAAAGCCTGAAGGGTCACCAATAAGAGGCCAGCCTACCTGAATGAGAGCAAGCACTTTGTCCTGTACAATGGTGGGAGGGTTGTTCTTGGCAGAGATGATTTTGACCAGAACACTGTCGATGAAATCACGATTAGCCACAAGGATATGAAAGCGATGACCACAGTTCTTCACACACGTTTCCAGAACCTGGCAGTAGAAAACAGGAGAGAGAGGTTACCATTATTAGTGGCAGAGAGGACAAAGGGCACTGAAGAGGCAGCCGGTCTCCATGATCTCTTGACCATCCTTCTAACACATCTTTTTAAGAGCCACATTTATAAGATACTTCCACACTCTAGTCCTGCCTGCTAGAAATAACAGTAGCCCCTGCTGACTCAAGTAACTGTCTATGCACAATAATCAGGTTGGTAACTGAAGTACCAGTTTTATAGGAGAAGGATACTGATGTTTTAATGATATTAAAATCACTGAGCTAGGCCCTGAAAATTAGTCTTTTAGGCTTCTGGTTGTGAGGCCTGAACCAATGGAACACAGGCCCTGTCACCAGAGGACACAGTAACAGCCTGTATCACCTAGTGAGTAACTGGCCTGTGTATGTGAGGAAGCATATAAGTGCATGCATGCATACACTCACACACATTAAAACACTCTCATACACTCAAGCACACACACACATTCTCATATGCATACATATATTCATACTCACAAGCACACACACTCACATGAGTTACTCAGCCTAACACACTCACCCTCACACACACATATTCAAAACTATGCATGCTCCCACATATACATGCACTCAAACATTCACACACATGCACAAGCATCTATGTGCAAACATTCACATATATGTGCATATGTATAGCCACACACATGCATACACATGCATTTGGACACACACTAGTACATGTACATTCACACTCACATTCACACACATGTGCATGAAAACATTGACATTCACACACACACACACACAACACACACACACACACACACACACACTCACAGACACTCATCAAATACCCCAAGTAACCCTTTAGCTAAAACTGAAACTGCGGGCTGCCCTCGGCCCCCGGCTCCGGGCGAGCTGCCCTTGGCCCCTGGCTCGGGGTGAGCCGTCGCAGCCCTCTGCCCGGGGTGGGCTGCCCTTGGCCCTCGGCTCGGAGCGAGCCATCACAGCCCTCAGGGTGAGCTCTTCAGTCCCCAGATTGTGCCATCTGACCCCTGGGTGGGGAAGGAGAAAAAATAAAAAAAGAATGCCTAGGGTATCCAATGTTATCTAGGCCACCTTCTGCCACCCTCCCCTCCAGTAAACCTGAAAGCAACACCCTCACAAGTTTGTTCTCTCTAGGTTTGCTCCCTTTCCTATAGGTAACCTTAAATCTGAGTTTTACTCCAGAATTGACCCTGAACCCAGTGCCAGTGACAGAAAGGCAATACAACTGACAGCTAAGGAAGCAAAGGAGGATGGAGTCTCTGGGTTCAACCAGCCATCCCCACTGGACCCACCTGGGAAAACACTTTGCAGTCCAGAGAGGAGCAAATGACAGGAAAATATCTTCTAACAGAGCAAGAAGGCAAGCAGCTTTAACCCAAGACCACCAGTAAGGTGATAAAGCATCCTCCCTTTACATCTACGCCCCTGTTCAGCATGAAGAAGCCAGAGAGTCAGCATCCAACTCCCAAATCAATAAGACAGTGGGTTTAATTACTATTGGAAAATGCTTGTCATTCCTCTGTAGCATCTGGTCCCCACTGGACCCTCATCATTTCCTTCACCTGCTCCCCCCCACCGACCAAACTGTGCAGCTCTGCAACTGCATCCTGGCCCATCCTCACCCTTCTGCCCCCAACCCTCACCTCCTTGTACCCCCAATATGTTTTTCCCAATAAAAAAAAGAAAAATTAAAAAAACAAAACAAAACTGAAACTGGGCGAGCTCTGGTGTCCTAGTGGCAAGAAGCTGCAATTGCAAGCTCAGAGGTGCACAGTTCAAATCCACCAGATGCTTTGCTGGAGAAGGAGGAACAATCTCCTCCTGTACCAGTCAGATCTGATTTGACAGTACACACAAAAAATAATGAAATAAAAAAAAAATTAAAACAAACAAAAAAACAACAAAAACTGAAACTGTTGTTATGTGTCATCAAGGAGGAACTAACTCACAGCTGACCCTCTGAAGGGTTTTCAAAGGGAGTAAACTGCACAGAAGGACAATGCCCATCTCTCTCCCATGGTGCAGGTGATAAATTTGAACTGCTTGCCTTTTGGGTTGGCAGTTCCACTCATGATTCACTATTTCACCAGAACTTGCTGGAACTAAAACTAGCAACCCCAAGCTATTTTTCACTTTTGACAAATGGCTTTTAGATGCTCAGATACCAGGAAGCTTTAAGGCTGGTGTTCAGTTTGAATTCTGTCTGTTCCTTTCTGTCTAGAAAAATGTGTTACACAGCCCTTCAAATTCATAGCAACTCTATTAGAAAGACTAGAACTGCTTCGTAGTTTCTGAGACTGTAAATGTTGAGGCAGATCAGCAGTTCCCACCAGCAGCAGGAGCTGAATTTCTAGCTGCATTCTCAGTTGAGCTGCTGTACCACCAGTGCTCCACACGAGGCCTTAACCTCTTAGAGAAGTGTGATGCACACGAGCTCTGCAGACACTGAGTGCTGCAGCCTGGGACCCAGCTTTCCTGTCCACAGAGATAACAGCTTTTCCCATCTGGAGGACCAGAACGGTAGTGCATCCACACAAGCCTGCTGGGAAGATGAGGAAAAATGTGCTTAAGGTAAAGAAAATAAAAGAAACATATGAACAGTAGTTAGTCCAAATGGCCAATGAACTATTTAAAGCGCACCTTCTGTGACCCTGACATATACCTGCTGCCACTACCAACCTACTATGAATGGGATCACAATAGAAAGGCTTGGATAGGATGAGAGAAAAAATGCAGAACAAAACTCAAAATCAGGAAACCACTGGAGACAGGTGAGCCCCAATCGTGGCCCTGAATTCTGGAAATGAACTCAAAACTTTGACTCCAACAACAAATTGATCTATATGGTAAACAGTAAACATGGAGATATATACTCCTTAGAAATATTGACAATACAAGATTTAAAGAGTACCATTTGCCCACAGATAAAAGATTATAAGACAGGAATGAAAAAGAAAGGATGAAATAAAACAGGAACTATAAGAAAGCATGGGGAGAGCGCTGTTACCTTGTATGGGCTGCAGTTCATGCTGCAAGTCAAAATGTGATGCATTGTTAATTGTGTATAAATTGTTAAATGGAAAGCCAATGTACTCTATAAGCGTTCACCAAAACCACATTTTAAAAATATGTACTTAAGGCACCTGGAAGAATAAAGGCTGTTCTTGCTATCTACCTCTCACACTCTCATTGTCATCAAGTCCAGCTTGATTCACAGCTGACCTTCCAGCTGCCAGCAAAGAGCATAGTCAGCCTTATTTTTAGTGATCTCTAAACATCTCCTCCTATTTTACTGCAAATGCTATAAATCATATGGATGGAGAATTTTCCTTAAATGGAAATTATATTCTCTTTTTTCTCTTAAGCAAGATGCTTAGAAAGGTGATGAAATTGATCAAGACTCAAATTATAGGCCAGTGCCAGAAGCAGTGAAGACACCAGACCAGACTTCCCTGATACTACAGCCTTCTCTCTCTCGCAGCTTTGTCCGAAACTGCCATATTAGTTATGTTGTTGTTGTTGTTAGGTGCCGTCGAGTCGTAGACAACTCATAGCGACCCTATGAATGAAAGGCCTGAGCACTGTTCGTACATAGAGTTTCCGGAGGCAAGCCATTTTGGAAATGGATGCCACTCCTGCTCCAGATATTAGTTATAAGCCCCATAAATATCAAGCAGCATGTGCTAGAGTTCTTGTTCACTTATTTGGTCCTTGAAATAGCTCTGTAAAGTAGGTGCTACTTCATTTTAGAGATGAGAAAGCTGAGGCTCAGAGATGCCAAAAAACTGAAGAGGCAAGAGGCTAGAGTACCCAAGCTGGCAGTCACAACTACTTAGGTCGCTGCTGCCTCCGCTGTGGGAGGCCTGGTGACCCACATGTCAAGGGGGGCTCTGCAGCTGACTAGTAGAGGACTTCCTGGAAGCAGTCATTTTACTCCACCCAGGGAGCACTGCTCTTTCTAAACTGGGACTTGGGCTTGATTCTGACTGGCTATTAGGTATCAGCTTTCATTCTTCACAGTGACCATGTAACTAGATGAAGCAGAAGTGCTCTTCCTGCCTGTAAAGTGCATAATCCCCCTTCCTTCTAGTGATCTCTAAACCCCTCCTCCTAATGCAATCCTAAGCAGGACTTTGAGGCCTAGAGGGTTGGCAGGAAGTATGCCTTATTTTGTGAAAGATAGATGAAAGAGAATGTCAGGAGGCTGCAGAGAGAAGACAGATGAGGTGGGAAAGGCAAGTGGACAGAAAGGTACAGAGGGCTGAGAACCAGGGTGGGCTATGGGTTGTGCCTGCCTCCACCAGCGAGGCAGCAGAACCAGCAGGATGTCTTCCTGAGCAGTAGATTTTAACATTAGTATGTCCCAGTATGTCCTCTGGGGCTCCAATATGCAGACTTGACATTGCTTTGGACAGTTGTAGTGAAGTGTTATGGTGTGCCCAAAGCTTGACAGAGCAGAAGGTGCCTGCTCAGGTACTACTTGTCACTAAAGCCCTTGGAAAACCTAACTTGGTTAAGTGGTTGAGCACGAAAGACATAGAAACTGTTTTCGAGTACCCAGTTGAAACTCAAGGAAAAAGTAAAAGGTAAGAATCAGGAACAGTCATTCTGAGTCCATACATTAAAGTCCAAGACCTCTGATAAACCCATATTCTAGGTAAATGTCAATTTGGGAGACACAGCTAAGAAAGTAAAAACGGTTACAAGAAACTGTACCAAGAGTGACTATTTCTGAACTAGTCTTTTCTCTTGCATTATTCCAACCCTAACACTGTCAGAAGAAAAAAAAAATAAATCAAGGCCAACCCAACCAACTCTCCCAATAAGCCCTGGGTTTTCACTTGGGCAGAAAAGCAAAACAATTTCTGCTCTAAATGGAAAAATTTAAAGAAAACAAAAGACAAGAACTACCTGATCATTTCCATCAATGAGCAAAAGGCATTTGAAAAAGTCCAATATTCATTTCTGA